TGGACAAATTTAGGAAACATCTAGAGAGAGGCCACCAGTCTACTGTTAATTCTATTTGGTGAGCAATTTACCTGAGAGAGAGAGCAAACTTGATGCTGCGCAAACATGATAGGCACGCTAAAGGGTAGACAGCAATCCAAGTAGAACTCGAGAATATAGGCTTTAGAACCATCCCACAACTGATTAATAAGACTTTGTTAAAACTGTTAGTGTTGTAGAGAGCATACAATTAACTGAAGCAGGCCCTAACAAAAGAAGCCTGTAAGCCTACTCTAGACTTGGTAATAGGACAACATCTTAAACAAGACAGAACAATAGTGAATGGAGACTGCGATTCTTAGACATCAGAACAAGGAGATGGTGGAAGCTCGTAATAAGTGGATCTGTTTAGCCTCTTATTTACTTGTAACACCTGGAGAGATGGAAGTGTAATAGCACCTAAGAACTAAATGTAATTTCAGTATCTGCTTTGATTGCATAAACATGTGCATTTAAGAACTGCTATGTTGTAATTCTACTTCAAGAAATAGATTCTTGTATTAAGTATGGTTGCTGTATGGAACAGGGTTAGAAATAGAGCTAAAGGTGATAAGGAGAAACTTTAGCAGTAAGAACACACTTAAGCACAAGAGCCGTTGGGGAGGGTATTTTCAGTAGAGAGAACATTTTAAATTGCCAAGAGTTGCACAGTTGTTTGAGATGGGGTTACTTCCTAAGTGAGTTAGTCTATGCCTTATGAAAATTAGTCAACCCTAAGATATTGCTAGAAGAAGCTAGATGATAGTTGATATAGATTAAGTATAGTTAAATTAAAAGGAGCAATATTAATAATATGCTTATGAGACGTATCTGATTGAGATGTTGAATCTGTTCCAGGAGTGTGGAGTGAGTGGCTGGTCCATTATTCAAGTAGCCTTGTTTTGGATCTTCTTGAGGTTAATGCCAAAATCAGATTTTGTATTGCATAGAGAAATGGAGAGGGCGCAAGGCTATATAGTTTGAGACAAATTTAGAGGTGTTGAGATCAAGAGAGACAGGCTAATAGATGACACTGAAGTAGAAAGTACAAATCTTAGTGCTTTAGCTAAAGTAGGAAAACTATATACCTGCATATATTCTATAAGCTACATATCTGCATCCTTATATGTAATCATTTTTCAAGTTATTATGTTATAATTGCTTATGATCTTTATTGACTAATTTTCCAAACCTCATGATTGTTCTTAAGAGATTTTAACTAATAAACTTTGATTGAAAATTCAAAAAACTTGTGGTCACCTTAAATTACCTAGTAGTAAATTTCTAGGCTACCACACTGCCATGAAAAGTCTCTGTTCAACAGAAGGTCATGGAATATAACCAATGAGAATGTTGTACCACGAGCCTGACTGTCTACTTCTGACTTGTCAGATGATCTCCAAGAAGTAAATGAACATGGTGCTTCATCTTTTGTAAAATGAAGATTACACGTTTCTGCTTACTTGGGAGCCTAGTCTGTTTGGATGCTCACCTTCCTAGACCTGGATGGAGTGGGGAGGACCTTGGACTTTCCACAGGGCAGGGAACCCTGAGTGCTCTTTGCACTGGAGAGGGAGGGGGAGGGGGAGGGGGAGACGGGGAGGGAAATGGGAGGAGAGGAGGAGGTGAAAATTTTTAATTAAAAATAAATAAATAAAGAAACAAATGAAATAACATGGTTTTTAAAGGCTTTGGTGTATCTGTCAATGGACTAGAATATATGAAGTTGTGACATTTCCAAAGTCATTCCATACGAACAAATGTCAATATGAAAATACCTGAAGATTTAATTGACATGTAAGGACAGTCCAACAGTTTGCACCTGTGTCTAAGAGACAGATGATTCCTCTTTCTACTGTTTTATGTAAAAATTATAATTCGGAACTGGCTTATTGTTTAATTCTTTGGAGCATACTTTTTCACCAAATTAAATTCTTTTGAAGATCTTATTTTGAATCATAGTAGGAATAATTATGAGAAAACTGCAGTGAAAAAGCCCTTTAGGGAATAATGAATTATCTTCCATTTTAGGCTAAGATTTTGTTTCTGAGGGCAATATTATACCGGTTTCTTTTCTCTTTGCTGTTTCCAAATACATGACAGAAATACCTTAAGGGACAAAAGGTTTATTTTGGTTCATGGTTTTAGAGGATTGCGGTTAACAAAATCGGACTCTCTGATCATGGCGAACAATGAGGGCTGATGAGAAGCCAAGGACAATGGCATGGGGTTTTGATCCTACTTCATGTTCTGGCTTGGTGGGAGCCTAGCCAGTTTGGATGTTCACCTTCCTAGACATGGACGGAGGGGGGAGGACCTTGGACTTTCCACAGGGCAGGGAACCCTGACTGCTCTTTGGACTGGAGAGGGAGGGGGAGAGGAGTGGGGGGAGGGGGAGAAGGGTGGGAGGAGGGGGAGGGAAATGGGAGGCTGGGAGGAGGCAGAAACTTTTTTTTCCTTTTCTCAATAAAAAAAGTAAAAAAAAATAAATTTAAAAAAAAAAGAAAGAAAGACATGGTGATGAGAGCAGCTCTGTCTATGGTATTGGGTGCTCAGTTGCCTAGGGACCAGGAAGCAATGACATTGGCAGATTGAGTGGTAAGTATAACCTCATAAGACCTGCTCTAGAGACCTACTACCCAAGCCCTGTTGCCTAAAGGCTCTACAACCTTTCAAATAATATCATGAGCTGGGGAAAAAGCACTCAAAACACGATCCTGTGGGGGAACATATCACCTTTAAGTCATAACACTCTGTCTCTGTTTCTCATAGGCTCATAGCTATTTGATAACGCAAAATGCATTAACTCTACATATCCCCTACGCTTTAACAATTTTAACGTTCTTCAAGACTTCATCTGCTCTCATATTTAAAATAATCTTCTATGATCCAATATCAAATAAAATAAAATAAAAAACCACAGAGGTCCATACTTAAACACAGTGTTACCTACTGAAAATTCCCTAAAATGAGAAATGCGGATATACCAAGAGAAGATTGAAACTGCAATTACAGGCATGCACCACCATGCCTGATTTACTTTAAACACTTTTTCCTTTTTGAGTATTCTCTCATTCTCATGTAGAGGTTGTTGTTACTCTTTGAATACCTTTGACCTATGAGAGATTTTTGCTCATTCTTTTTACCAGCCTTCTTCGGGGTCTTAAGGTCATTAGGAAAGTTATCTTTTTAAAATGTCTTCAAATTGTTTATGAGCTCTGAATATGTGACTCTTGATTGAATTTGTTGCATTACATCAGGAGATAGGATCCACTTAAACTAATAATTAGGCTGGGGAGATGGCTCAGGATGTAGGGGCACTTGCTGTGTAAACATGAGGACCCGAGAGTGCAAATCCCACAAACCCATGTAAAACACTGGGTATGGTTGTGCATGCTGTAACTACAGCGCCATGTGTAGGGGGGAGGGATATGACAGGTAGAATGATTATTGGAGTTTCTTGTCCATCCGCCTAGCTTGAAGTTCAATGGGAGACCCAGTCTCAAGAGAAAAAGCAGACAGTGGAGTAGAACACCCATCGTCCTTCTCTAATCCCTGGGCATATGAATGAGTGACTACGCCTGTACACACATGTGTATGCATCATATATCACAGCTGGATACAAACACACACACACTCAGTTATGTGCACACTTAATGATACTATTAAGTATGTAGAAGGGGAAAGGACAAAACACAAGGGACAAAAGTAAAAAAAAAATAGGGACTAGGCTGAGAAGTTGTGGCACATACCTTTAATCCCAGAACTCAAGAGGCAGAGCAAGAGGATTGCTATTAGTTCAAGGCCAGCCTGGTCTACTGAGTGAGTTCCAGGACAAGTCAAGGCTACACAGAGAAACTCTATATGGAGAAACCAAAACCCAAAATGAAACAACTCCCCCCCCCTCCTTCCTGTAAGCAACTACTGAAACTAGTGGAACATGTCTGTAAACTCAGTCCTTTGGGAAGAAGATCATGTGTCCAAGAAGCTTCCTTCATGGGACCCTGTCTCAAATGCCACAAATGCATTCTTAGGTATGCATGTACACACACACACACACACATATACACCACATCACCACCACTGCCACCAAAACTAAGGAAAAATGGATATAAGAATAATAAACAAAAAATTAATATGTCATTCTCCAGTTTATTAAGACAAATAAACCACATGACTTTAAGAAAAAGTTTTAAAGTTTTTGAATGATTTATGTGTATGGGTGTTTTGCTTGCATGTATGAATGTATACCATATGTGTTCTTGCTGTCCACAGATTTCAGAAGAGATCACTGGATCTCCTGGAACTGGAACTACAGATGGTTGGGAGTCACCAAGTGGCACTGAGAACCAAACCTGGGTCCTCTGAAGAACAACAAGTGCTCTTAACCACTGAGCCATTTTTTCTAGCCCCATTTCCAAGGAATTTAAGGGATTCTTTTTTATCATGAAAATGCTAAATTCACTTTGTGTAGGTAATCTTGTGAAGATAAAATTAGATTTCATTTACTTATGTTCAAACTAGAAACTAGCTGTATTGTTTCATATCCGACATAAAGAAAGCTTTTAACTGTAAAATAATAAGTGATCAGGTATATTCATATTATTATATAAATTATGAAGATCATTATCTTTATAAATTTTGTTCCCAAATATAGTAAAGTTAAACTTGTAAAACATCTTCAAACCAGGAGGACTGCTGTTTCTCCTCTCCTCAGTATTCTAAACCCAGAGAACAGTCCTTGACAATTATTGGTTGAATGATAAAATGCCTCCCTTTCAAAGAATCAGGTGACTACTTTTTTGGTCAAAAAGAAACTACACAGAAGCTGTCTGTATCACAGATAAATGGGTCTAACTGGAAACCCTAGCCAACCACACATGGTTGAGGTCTTATGTGATAGAAAAATACTGAGTCTTGATTTGATGCTGTGGACCCTGAAAGCTTTAAGCTTCCAGGAACCAAAGATGATCTCAGCTTACCTCTTTCTGGTGATATTTGATTGCCACCTTCAGCTTGGCTAGGTCATGGTACTTCTGTGGGTCAAGGTCTTCACTGTGGTCATCTCGATGGTTGAGGATGATCTCTAGTTCTCGCGAGCTGCGCGCTTGGTCTAGCAGGTCCTTGGCAAAGAGCTTACATTGCTGAGAGAGCTCCTCATACTCAGCCTTGAACTCATTTTCCACCTTGCTTAGCTCCTTGAGTTCCCAGCCCAGCCGGAAGGCAGTGAGGATGGGGTCCTCGCTTGATAAGGCAATCAGTGAGGGGCTTGCCAAAGCCTTGTAGATGTTCAGTCGGGACCTTGAATGGCGCAGGCTGTCTACCTCTGAGCTGGACACACACTCCACACAGTTGCAGCGGATTTGGTGGGGCCGTGGAATAGTGACCCGCTTTTGGACGAGCAATTTGATGATTTCATAGTTGTTGGTGTGGGCGGCCAACATGATGGGAGTGATGTCTGGTGTGAACTCAGAGAATTGGGTGTCCATAAGCAGAGTGGGTATCTAAATGCAAGAAATGAGAAACAGGGAGGGGCAGGGTTATTGTTAGGAACACAAGGAGCTTCAGTTGGTAATTCAGAAACTGAAATTTCTAGTCTCTTGTGACTTCTTACCCAAAACAGGTAATGTTTGTGGGCTGCTGTGTGGCACTTCCCTAAGCACTTTTCTTGCATTTACTTATGGAATATTCACAGTTGGTAGGTATTCTTCCCATGGGAAGAAGCTGTGAGAGGCTAATGGATACACCTAAGATTATGTAGGAGGGCCAAAATTCAACACAGGTAGTGAAATTGTCAAGGTCCGTTCTTAAAATTAGGCTATCATGATATGTCCAGTTTTATCTAACAGAACAAGGAAAACAAAGAAGGAGAAGATGTTGCTTGTGGTCCTCTGGCTGAAGATCATAAAGTCCTAACGGTTTATGGTGTTTCACGTTTAGCTTTAATTGAGCTGTTGAAACTGCTGAAATATTGACTTCAAAGACCAAAGACAAGCAATCATTTTGAAGACCATGCAACTAAATAAAGCCATAATTGCAACAGAAAAGACGCTTACAAATGGTATTGACTTTGCATGCATACAGGACTTTAGAGGATTAATTCAATTTCTTCCAAGTCCAGGAAGGTAGAAAGAATTAGGTATTGTTAGGGAGAAGTAATATTGTAAATGAGGAATTCCATGCTTCAGGCAGCATTGCTAAAGACAGGGGGCATTTGATAAAACTGTTGTCTAGAATGCGATGTTGGTGGAAATGGTATCTATAGCCAGAGTACATTATGTATTCAGGATCACACCTAGAGAAGAGCATAGACTCTAATAAATGAGTTAGAGCAGTCTTCCAACTTGAAAATAAATCTTCGGGGACTTTGTTTTCAGGCCAATAAAGAAAGCAAGAGGGTCTGGAGTCACAGTTGTGTTAGTAGACCGTTTGTCTAGCATGCACAAAGTCTTTGTTTCGGTGACCTGGACCATAGAAACTGGACAATGTTGAGAATACCTGTAATCTTAGCACCTTGGAGAGGGAAGCAGGAACATCAGAAGTTCAAGGACATCCTTTGCTATATCTATACAGGTCAATGACACTAGCGATACAGGAGATTCTGTCTCAAAAATGAAAATAAAATGGAAGCCCAGGGAGCTCCCTAGACTCACATAAGAACCAGAAGATTGAGGAGAACAGAGACAGTGAGGGGAAGGTTTTTGGAAGAAAAATCTGAGTGTGTAAAGCATGGGTAGCATTCCAGCATATGGGGGAAATACTGATCTGATTACATTTGAGGAAAAGAAGTACATAGTGTCAAAACTCATTTTCAATGGGGAGGAAGACAGTTGGGAGTCTCATTAAATAGAAAAGTATTGTTTTAATCAACACTCTCTATCTTTTAAAGACTACAACAATCTACAGTTACTGGTGACCTTACAAAAGCATGAGATACTGGTTTTCATCATTTTTACCTCCTTTCTTTCCTTTTATTTTTTTAATTCACTTTGTATAAGGGATTTCTAAAACAGGGAAGTGGCAGTAAAAGGGGGAGAGGGAGGAAAATTAAGGGGAAAAGACTGCAAGAAACCCCACTTTCCTCACTGAGTAGCTGCATCAGCCTCTGAAGGCTGTCAGTCATTGCTAGGCTAGAGAAGTGAGTAAGCATTGGAAAACATTGGGAAAGAGAGGCTACAAACAAAACCAGGGGAAGTGAACAACTCAGCTCATAAAGTAAATTGGACACAGGAAAGAATAATCTCAGAAATTAACATAAGCCTACAGGCTTCGGAAGAAATAGGTCTGAGTGGGCCATGAACATAAATACAACTGCTGTAAGGCCATGAAGTGGGGAGAGATGGAAAGTGAGCAGGTTGTCATCGTCTGTCCAGGAAGAAAAGAGCTCATATCTGGAAGATCTGTCCTTTCTCTAGGCAGAAGACATTTTCCAAACTTCGTCATTATTGCAAGTGGTTTGGAGAAGGTGGAGTGGGTGTCAACCTGTTGGATAGTTTTCTCTTGGTGATCAGACTGGAAAGTCCAGGAATTTAGTAAAACACATCTTTGGATATCTATGATGGTGTTTCTAGAGAGGCTAGGTCATGACGGTTCTGAAATAATTAAAGAATTAATCTACTGATGGATTCATAATATGAAGACATTATTGAGGGTGTGTGATTTTTGATCATTCAATGGGTTATGGATATTTGTTATTGTTTAGGAGGTTTGCTTACACATTGTGATTTGTTACAGTCAGGAGGAAAGTTGAACAAAGAAGGTCAGAGATAGGGTTTTTGTTTTGAAAAGAAAAAAGGGGATATGAATATAATAAGATAAAAGGGTAGATTATTAAATCTACTCTGAAAAGAAAAAAGGAGGATATAGATATGATGAAATAAAAAAGTTAGATTATTGAATCTCCTTTTAAAAAGCAACTACTAGTTTTAATGTTTTACATTAGATTGGAATTTTGTATATTACATACAATTTTATATACTGACACAAATTTGAGATTAATTGTTTAGAACATACTGTACATACATTTCAACTCATGTTCAAAGTATTGTACCTATACAACTCATTTAACAAAGTAATGCATATTTCTTATCCTTGAAAATTATTATCAATTGTCTAGAATAATAAGGAAATGCAGGTTAGTAGTTGATTACCTACTATAATCGAACTTGTCACATTAAGAATGTTTTCAAGGTCAAAGTAGGATATATTTTAGATAGATTATCTTTGAACACTTCAGAGATCTACAAAATATAGCATTTAAGATGGTTTAATATAAAAATGAATTAAAAAGATGTTTTAATAACATCAGTTCTTTTTTAAATGACAATGAGATCGGTCTGCTCCTGGAAGCACTGATTTACTTCAGAGAAGATAATGGACATCACAGAAACTCCACATGGAGTTTACTTTCTTTGTGGCAAAAGCAAGCCATTGGGGAAGAAAATGCCCTTGCCTTGACTTCTGACAGTATGCTGTCCTAATTGGACAATCAGGACACAAAAATAAGTGACTGCCAAATTTTCTCAAGACAAGGAGGGAGAGCCTTTCAGAATTTTCTGCTTCACAGAAAGGAAGGTCTGTCCAAAATGCTAGGTCTGTAGGATGAGGATGGATGCGCCAATGTTGCAGAAGAACTTTGGGTGACTGTCCAGGCAGTCAGCTGTTTCTGTCATTTCTCACATTTTTTTTTTTTTGGAAGTTGCTTGCTCGCATTTACTGCTTATTCAGCTAATATTATTTCCTTCTTGGGTTTCTGAGGGAATGGAAAACTAGATAGTTGAGTTTTCCTTCTTTACCAGATGCAGAAAACAAGTTATGATAGGAAGTAAATTAGGTACAAGACTTTGGACTCATCAAGATAGGATATATAGAAAGTATTTTCTCTGAAGTTGTCAAATGCAAATGGACTAGACATTGTTGGTATAGTTATCTCCTGTATATATTGTATATAGTTATTGTATTAAGTATTTATAATTTTTCTTATGTTAGTTATAGTCTTCTTTTTATTTTAGAGAAAAAGGGAAATGTAGTAATATTTCATTTTTATTTTAATAACTAAAGCTTGCCTAAAGATCAGATGCAAAACAGCCATATCAGTCATCCATACAGGCCAGTCAGTGGTGGCACACACCTTTAAATCCAGCAGCCACTCTAGTTAGTCATAGACCCAGGATGTGGTGGCTGTATGTCTTTAATCCTAGCACTAGAGAGGAATAAGAGGTAGGATAAGCCAGGAACTTGCTCTCTTTCAGTCTAAAAATTTCATAGAGGTAATAGCTTTCTAGTGACTTGGCTGCTTTGTTTTTCTGATCTGTAGCCTGAACCCTAATATCTGTCTCTGGGCTTTTATTATTTGTGCTATAGTGAGCATCACCAGTACTGTCTTCTTGGAACTGTTGTTATATTTTAGTGTATTTCTGTGCAAGTCTTATTATCTAAAGTTAATAAAAATTTCATGGAGAGACTGAGCGAGCAACGCAGGCGCCCACAGATGAGCAAGGCAGGCGGCAACACAGGCCAGAGGCTGCAGCCCGGACTGGCGGGGACTGGCGCGGTGGCAGAGGACGCAGGCAGCAGGGACCAGCGCGCAACACCAAGAGCAGATCTCCCCACTACAATTAAATCAAAGAGGTAGGCCTTTGGTTGGCGAGGTCCCTGGCAAATGGGGAGCTGGGTCCTGTTTCTAAAAACCCTTCTGAGGGGTGAGAGGGTTCTTGGCCCCCGGCAGGAGCCAGGAAACAGAGCAAGGGCAATTAGTAAGAGAAGCCTCTGGCCAGCAGAGAAACCTGATCCGATTTCAAACGACCAATTAGATAGCATTGAAAGGAGGAGATGGGCAGGCGCCAAGGCAAGAATTCACCCAATAATCTGAAAAACAACATGAAAACACCAGAACCCGAAGATCTTACAACAGAAGGACTTGAACACCCTAGCACAGAAGAAGTGGAAAAAAATTGACTTTATGAAAGCAATAGAGTCCCTTAAACAACATGTAAAAAAACACCCTTATAGAAATGGATGAGAAGTATAACAAAAAGTTTGAAGAATTAAGTAAATAC